TGTAATTGTAATGTGTATCTTTGTTCTTATTTTTTAATAACAAAGATAAAATAATGACAAAGATTTTTTTCTTCACCCACTTTGGCCTAAATATCTGCCATTCTTTTTTGTTACCTTGTAAAGGCTTTGTTTTTAAAATAGGGAAATGAGTTTGGCTGTACTGTTCAGACAACTTGCAAAATAGTAAAACCAACATGAAAAAGAATCATGATAAAATTGTGAATCGTGATTTTCCTGAAAAAAATCGTGATATAATATTTTTGCCATGTCGCCCACCCCTACATAAACATTAAGTAAAGCAGAAAAAAAAAACATGCGCATTTTAATAGTAATGCCGGTTCTGTAATCAGCAGGAAATCATCATCACGTGCTTTCAGATGGAGCAGAATTTACTACACATAGCTGTAGTTCACTGACAAGTTACGCAAAAAATAAATTTGCAGACGATTTTATAGCACGATTATGAAATCGAAGAAATCGTTCGCGATAATGACAGCTGTTTGCATAGCTTCTCAGAGAACTACAGCTCTGTGTAGTAAATGCTGCTTCATCTGAAAGCATGTGAAAATACCACATTTAATAACATATTTTACTCCAAACGCACTTCATAACGTCAGTCAAGTGTTTGAAATAAATCCTTCTGTGAGATGATGTGGCTTCTTACACAGAATAAGGCACGCAACATATGTCATAGTATTTAAGAAGTGATAAAGGTACTGCATTATAAATATACTTTATTTTAATGAAAATTATAATAATAATAAGAAGAAGAAGAAGAAGAAGAACTCAGATAAACCGTATATTGCTGTAGTCGTGTGTTTATTAGTCACGTTGAATCAATGAAAGCAGTTGAATCTTCTGTTTATTCAGCTGCAGCAATTGGCATTTTCCGGGTTTCTTCTGCGAGGCGTATTCGGAGTTTCAGCTCGAGAGCGCCAACTGGCCTTCGGATGGAGATTTACTGCTGATCACAGAACCGTGCTTCACTGAAAGATACGCATGACAATCGCAGCTTCTGTCGAATCACGATCTCGATTCCATTTCGATTTATCGTGCTGCCCTAATTTGCACTTTTTGTAAGTGACATTTTATACAAGTAATCAGCAGCTAGCGAAGCACTTTACATTGATTACTCTTGAACTTTGTGGAAATTAGGTGCACCACTGAGTATAATGTATGAGATGAGGGTGCATACAGACATTAGATCTATCCAAAATAATGTAGTGAGAATATAGACTAATTTATGATTCCCTCCAAATACCTGACGTCTGGAATCTGGGAATAGCTACTTAGTCCTGCTTATTTAAGTAATAGTATTAAAGCTTTGCACTTTGTATTGTTTGAGAGCTTATGCTTGATTGTAGGGATGCACGATGTATCGGCCACCATATCGGTATCGGCCGATAAATGCTCATTTTTTCTGTTATCGGTATCGGCCTGATAAGAAAATTTGGCCGATATCTTAAAACCGATAAATAATGCATTATTTCCTTCAGAGACACTTCAGATGTGCGCTGTTTGTTTGCAGCCTTTTGTGCAATTGTACGTTGTAATATTGTGTTTATTTGATGTATATCTGATTTATCTCATATAGAATGCGTTTGGTTAAGTTAAAAGAGCGCTTCAGTTTACCAGTGATCATCTTTAGCTCAGCGCACGCAGCTCAAACAGCAGTGCACAACATTAATAACTATGATTGGGAATGTTGTGTATATAACATTCTAATGAGAACATTATTATAATAAAACGTTGTGAATTCTTTGGGTTTAGTTGCCGTGTTTCAGCGCGTTGTTATGGGAAGAGCGCATCCACAACAGGATCACACATTCTGACTATAGCATGCAATAACTGCGTCATTTTGTACATATATAAGTTGTAATATTATGTTTATGTTGTATTAATATTAATCTCAGGATGCATTTCCTTGAGTTAAATAAGCTGCCAGCAAAACGCTTCAGTTTACCGTGTTCATTCAGCTCTTCGGCTTCAGCACGCGCAGCTCAACGGCTGCTATTTAAAACAGTGGTATTAATTTGTTACTTTTTCAAAATCATTGATATATTATTAATAACAACAACCACTTGTATTTTTCTCTTATTATTTTCATCAACAATATGGTTTAGTACTTAAAATCATTTAATTATTGTCCGTGCAGAGGCTATTCTGTTTTATTGATCTGTGGCGCATTCATTTTGATTCTTTACACGTGTAATGATGTCCAGTGACTTGTTTGCATTATTTTATTTATTTGTAAGACTTTTTTATGACTAAATTTGGTAATGGGAGAGTAAAAATATTTTTAAAACGTACACCGTTCAAACTAGGCTGCTTATGTTGAAGTGTTTGGGATGTGGCTTTTAATGATGAGACCTTTTTTGTAATCAGGCTCTCAAAAAGTTTATAACAATTTGGATATGGATTTATCGGCCAACATATCGGTTATCGGCTTTCAAAAATAAAGAATAATCGGTTATCGGTATCGGCCAAAATTTTCATATCAGTGCATCCCTACTTGATTGCAAAGCACACTAAGGAAAGTAAATATCCCAATCAAAAATAAGTTATGCTCTTTGAAACAAATCTTCTGACATGAACCCACTTGAGGGTGAGCAAATTATGACTTTTTTGGGGGATGAACTAAATCTTTAAATCTAGACAATAATCTAAACATTCATAGAAGTTACTTAACTTCTCTGATCCATGCACTTGGACATCAGTGCACACTAAGGTCGGCGCTATATTGAGTTCCAACAGGTCAAAATGTAGCCTTTGCCCTGCAGCTGTTTTTCTGTGAATCATAACTTTACATGCATGCAAATTTACAGGCACACACACACACACACAATCATGGGGATATCCTGCACACTTCCCCCTTCCTGTGAATCAAATGGCCTATTTCCACATTAACAGCACGCATACAAATGGATAGCTAAACATTGCCAAAAACTGCTGGTCCATTCATTCACTCATGAAACTCAGAGTACCCCTCCAACTGAGTAGAAACAAAAAATGGAAATTCATCATCATAAAAGCAAACCATTAAATGTCAGCCAAACATGCAACAATCCACATGTTCCTAAAATACCGTGGCCCAAAGTATATTTGAACAATTAAGAAATGTATGCTGTTGCATTACATAGAAATATAATTCAAGTTACTCTTTTTAAGTGTGACTTTTTATTATTATTATATTTTAACTACCATATTTTGTAGTGTGGCCAAAGTGTCCAAATACCTTTTGAGAATACTTGTATAGGCACAACACAAAGTCCAAAAATGATATCCACAATGTTTTTTCTGAGCATTTGAAACACAATACATCACATAAAATGAGTAGTATGATGCATAAACCAACCAGACGTCATAATAGAAATCCTTTCAGGACAGAAAAAAACAATGGTTTGACTGAGTGCATACCTGTAAATTGAGCCTAAACGTCTAGATCAGGGTTAGGCAACGTCAGTCCTGGAGAGTTTAGCTCCAACCCTGAAAAAAAACCTCACCTGCCTGTAGCCTTAGTAATCCTGAAGACCTTAATTAGCTTGTTCAGGTGTGTTTGATTAGGGTTAGAGCTAAACTCTGCAGGACCAGGACCGACGTTGCCTACCCCTGGTCTAGATTTTAATACTATGAATAAAGCCTGAGTCACATATTGAGCCATGCTTATGACAGAATGTGAAACGTGTTAAAGACTTCCTGCTCACCTGTGTGCACTCACACACCACTGCATTACAACACATGTTCAACTAAGCAAATGATTAGTCAGAGTTATGATGATGAACAACTGGTATGAGCAGTATTTGTAGAATATTTTCATGTTTTACGTTTACAGTACATTAAAAGACACTATCCAGTGTTCAATGTTCCTCACAATTTAGAAATATGACTTCACTTAATTATCAGTAAGACAATTAATATACTGACATTGTCACTTGCACACAGCAATTTCTGTAATATTTTATTTATTCACTTTTTTACCCCTATTGCTGCTATGTAACTACCCTGTACAACCTGTTTGCACACGCTTGCTCATCTTAATATTTATTAAGTCTACAGTATACTGTCCTGCGCATTTGATTTTATTCTTATCTTACTTTTTCCATACCTATATTTATATATAATTTTCTTGTGTTTGTATTCTTTAATAATTGCACTGTCCATGGAGCGGACCTGACTTACATTTCACTGCTGGTCATATATTCTCTATATAACCATGTATGTGACAAATAAAAAAATCTTGAAGTGTTCATACAGTTACAGGCTCACCAACACTGCTGTTAGACAACAGGACATAACTTACCACACTGCATGTGCTGAGACTGTTAACTAGAACGAATGACAGATGACAAACCGAGCGGACACATTTTAGATGGACTGATTGATTTTGTAAACTAGACCGGGTAATAGCACAGCACTTTGATATATGCCATGGTACTGAATGAATATTATACTCCTATACCATCATATCTACCTGGCTCATTTAAATACATAACCATATTTAAATGACATTTTGGCAAATACCATAGTGACCTTGATGTACAATTCAAACACTATGGTATATGAATATGGTTCTGCCATGGTACCATCAGACAACCATGGTGCATGTCAAATTAACCATTTTAATAACATGCTAGTTTTATGTTAGTGTGACAGCAATCCCTTTGAAGTGCCTTTGAACAGGGAAGATGGATTAACCACATATTTTTACTATATTACACGTAAAGCTAAATCTATACAGTCTTTCTAACAAGTCAATGTACTCATATAACAGAGATGATCAGTCTACACACATTTAAATGGTGATTTGAAGGGGACGCACATCACAGGGCGGCTGGATTCACATCTATCAGCAGCCGGCCAACCACAGAACTGTTGCCAACCCTCCAAAACAGCTGGAAAATAACTTATTCTGAGGCTACAAGCAGACTCCAACCCCACCCATGATGTTGGGGGGTAAATCAAAGCATCGGGTGTGTAATTTCAATCTGAGAGGGACTCACCTTCATGTCGTTCATGATGATTTGGAAGAGCCCTCCCAAAGCGCTGCACTCCTTCTCCATTCCCGCATCCATTTTACCACCCCAAAAACACACGCGCAGCGGTGACACTTATCCTCCTTGTGAAAGCTATCCTCGAAACCCGCTGTCAATATCTGACGGGTGCGGTACGAGGCTGTTTTTAAAGGCTATCGTGTGAAAAAGACAAAAGAGGATAAATTAACGCAAAAATAATGAGTGTTATTCCGCTGATTGGCTGTCCGGCGCAAGTAAACTAGTCCCGGCCACGCAACTTACTAAACCTCCGAAAATACATCGCACCGTCACGACACAAGTGGATAAAAAAAACATAAAAACGGGATTTTTGACAATAAGTCTCCAGGTCGAAAACGTGCCACGTAAGCACAGGTAAACCCGCAGGAAAAACCGACCGTTGGAAATCTGCGCCAAAGTACCTGGGCTCGGCGTTTTCAAAACCTTGGCTCTGCGGGATCGATAGTCACGTTTAGTTCAGACCGCGACAACCGCCGTGTTTTTTATTCCTCATGGTTTCATTCAGTCGGTCAACCCGCTGATATATCCCTTCTGATGATTATTTTGAGCGCTTGCAGTTAGAAAGAGCTTTCCGGGTAAAATGAATACAGCAAAACCTGACTAAAGTTTCGACTCCTGAAAGATTCCAGAGTGAGCGGTAAACCTTCACTCCTGGCTCGCTCGCTTTCTAACCCGTTTGTGTGCATCGGCTGGCGACGAACTCAAAAAAGGGGCGGAGCATTAGTACTTCGGAAACGTTCGTGCTTTTCCGTTACTTTTGTCATCAACATACATAGTTATGTATGTAAATAAAAGAGATATACATCTATGGCCTCATAACAATTATTTAGAGACAATATGAAATATTTGTACTTTTAAAAACATTTAAGACGAACAAGTAAAACTCTATTTAACCATTTATAGTTATAAAACATGTTAAAAACCATTTACTTATGACTACACACTGTCCACAATTGCTAAACTCTCTCCTTAAGCAACTTAAAATGTACTTTCTATTAAGATGAATCAGAACACACAGAACTACATCCTGTTATATCCATCTACACACAAGTGAGCTGGTTTTCAAGGATTCATATCATCTATGAGTCAGCACCATTGTGATCTTGCCCAGCCTTGTGCTGTTACCTGACATTATGAAATGAGTCCACCTCTGAGCTCAGGTCTCATAGCAACGCAGACATGATCAATTCAGCATCACCTCCTCTAGTGGCCACCTGTCTGTCTGTGGGAGAGAGCTGAGGTCACCTTGTTCAGCAGTCTGCAAAGATGCAAAGAGCTTCCCACACAGCCGTATGTGCCCACTCATAGCACACACACGTCCAGACTCACAAAGTCAGTGTATTTTGAGTGTTGCTACGAAATCAACAGATCAGTTCACATATACATGAATACGTTTCGAAATAAGTTTTTTTTTGGAAAAAAATAATGAAAAGTAAGGAAAGTAGGGATTTTTAGAATTCATTTACAGAGACTGCTCTCAAAAACATCTTACAAGGCATTCTAAACATGACTGCAGCACTACTACAGAGGTCCTTGAACTGTAGTAGGTGCTTGCTACCATCTAGAGGTGAAACTTTATTTATGCACTGGTATTACATCACATACATTTTTGCAATATATGGGATGTAATACCAGTGCATTATAAAAAGTACGGTATATACTGCATATGCTTTTAATATTTATGTATATATCATATATATAATATTTTTCTTTCATATTACCACTCATTTTAAAAAGCAGTGAAGCAATATAAGAAAATATTTTTAAAACTTTTGCCTTAAAAGCAATAATAGAATACATCTATCAGTGTTGTTTAACCAACATGCAGAAGCCATATTGTTATCATGTGACCTTTTTATGGATGGAACAGTATGAACAATGTATTAAACACATTTCTAAAAACTTTGCACTTTTTTGACCAACATTCTTAAAACTGCAGCGTAAGAGTAACAGCCCTAGACAGACACATGACGGCACAGTATTGTTTCCAGGCTCCATTTTTTATTAAATTTTTTTTTTAATAGTATTTGACTGCAACCCATGTAGATAAATTATACATATTTTTCTTTCAAAAATGTACAAACGATTTTAACATTTATTTTAAACAAACGTGTTTAATCGGAGCTGCCAGGGATCATAACGTACATGCAAGTAATATAGCAGAATTCATTTTTAGATTAAATAAAAAAAATATTTCATATCATATTCGTTGAATCTAAAATCATTTTTCATAAAGGAACAAGATATGCATTTGATTTGCATTTAAATTTTATAAAATTTAAAATAAATGTACAGTTTACTCATTGCATCAAAAGGTCATCGAGGCCATATATTTGGCCCATGACAGATAAATAAGCTTATATAGGATTAATCATTCATTCAAATAATGTCCTGATGGATCATCATGTCTCATGCAATGTTGCTAGCTTTCATCACGGGTGTGCAAAGGCCCTCTTGTGGTCAGTTTTGTAAGTGCAGCCTGACCTCTCTGAGGTTTGGCTTTGGTTAGTAACAGCAGCATGAAACAAGGACGTCTTATTAAGAGCCCCAATTCTAGACACTCAAGTCTGGTTTGCTGGTATAACCAATGGATTCACTACAACTGTATGCTTTACTTGGGAAGGCAATGTACGGAAGACAAAAAGTTGAAATGCTATAATGATCTTTTTTTCGGTCCACTGATTTATACATTCATTAAAGAGGACAGTAAGAGTGTTAGTACAAACACTGATACAACAGCATCATTTCCTTGGCAAAGATTAGTTTTGTGTTTTCCTTGCATGAAGGAAATTTTAGATTTGAAAACACGGAGATTACAAATGTTAATAATTTGGCACAACAGAACATGATTGCTGTGAGAACATGAGTAGTGTTTCGAGTGAGCAGCCATGAACAAAATCCCTGAAGTGTTAAAGCACCCCGTGTCTATAAACTCAGATGAATGTTTAGAGGCGAGTTAGTTAGCCATTAACAACAAAGATCTGTGTCAGTGCATTTGCACGTCTACATGCAAGCACTTGCAGTGGGAGGCCGGAACAGTCAGGAACCATTCAACAACTGGTTCCTCTGTGTCAGTCGGAGCAGAACCACTGAGCATTTTCTGCCATGTAATGTGGCGTTTCTGAAGGATTCTGGAAGTACCAGATAGCTATATATCAAAAATCTCTTTTCACCCCTTTAAAGTCAAAGTCTTTTCATGCTTCCAATGTGCAGTTGGTCAGCTGAATATTCAATGAGCTTGTTGTGCATTTCTCTTGTCGTTTTTTACTTCGTTTTCGGGCGATGTCACACACTATGGCCAAAGCTCCGCCTTTCAGGAACCGCACAAAGTTCTCACCCACCAGTGGACCCATGGCATACATCCCTGGCTCCTTCACGCACTCATACTTGTATGGATCCACGTCTAGTGGGTTACGCCGACAACTGATTGGCTCTTCTGAGTCCACCGCCAGTGGGCGACCATGTTCTTGGAGGAATGACAGGTTGGGATAGGCACCAATCAAAACGAGCGCCATTGAGACTTGCAGCACTGTCTGTAGCCCTCTCTCATCCTCTAGCACGCACTTGCCATCAGGTCTGAAGGCAGCTACATGATGCTTTGGGAAACTGAGGTAACCAGGGTAACAGGTATACGGGCTGGTGCCATCAGCAGGTGAAGAAAGAGGTTGGTTGGACAGATAAACCACCGACTCATCCACTTTGTGCTGCGGTTGGCTCATCATTTGGTGCACTTTGTGGTACTCAGGGTAGAGGAGCTTGGGCAGTTGGTTGAAGATGAGTGCCGGATCACTCACAGGTCGCCTAAAGGCATGATATACAGGTGTGTTCAAGTGATGTGCAGCGAGAACTGCATCCGCCGCCGTCAACCCAGCACCAACCACAAGAACCGGCTCTGAAGCACGGTCCAAACGGCCTGAGGAAATGGCAGCCTCCAGCTCCCAGAAGCTGTGGCAAACGAAGGGAAGGTTTTCACCATCCACGCCGAGACGGGCTGGGATGTCGTGGGTTCCTGTGGCAAGCACCACGTTCTCTGCATAGACTGAGAAAGGGACTTCAATTACTTCATTTCCTTCACCACTACTTGCTCTTCTCTGGAGGCCTTGGATCTTCCAAACGGAGCAGCCAGATTCAAGGGAATCCCGAGACACTGAGGTCACGGTGGTGCCACAAGCAAAGCTCTTCTCCAGATCCATTTTAGTCACATAGTGCTGATAGTACGACGCAATCTCAGCTGGTGTGGCCCGGTCATTGCGTAAATTTCTGCACACACAAACCAGTATGTTAGATAATTGTTTTGTTCATTCTGATAATTTGTAACTTCATAAAATATTTATACTCATTGTGGCTCAAAACCATGTTATTTACATTTTAAGAGAAATTAAGATAATTATGGCTCACTTAGTTATACTCCTCACATTATGTTAGGAAAAGAAAAAAGTATTTTAAAAGAAATGTACACAGAGCAGCTGCAAGTCACCTAATAGTTTCAGTTTAGTTCTAGGACTAACTCAATGGAGGAATCTTATTTTTATCTCAAGATGCCAAGAATCTTGTATGAAAATGAATGTTGTATGAAAGATGAGCCCTTTCTTCTCTAGACTAATTGTATTTTAATGTTTCAGTTTCATTTCTTTATACCTTCGTTTATCTCTCATCCATTCCTTCAGCTTCAAACCAGGAAGTTCCATCCAGTTAGCCAAGCTGAGTGTCAGCATTGAGCCCTCCATCGCCTGCAGGCATCAATCATAAGAAACAACTTCACATCTTGGTATGAAGCAGGAAAAGCACAAGAATAACATCTGATCAACTGGTACAAAACTCCAATAGAAGACAGTGTTGCAGTTGTTTTCAGGCATGCAACTAATAATCACATGAGTTCTTTCCCATCTATGTTTTCTTCCCACAGGGCTGTACTTGCAGGGTTTCCCATACATTGACTTATTTGTGGCGGCCCGCCACAATATCAACACTGACCGCCACAAATAGATTTTCCAAAATGCTTTGACTTTGTTGAATAAGCATGAGCACTACACGTTTCAAAATCAAAACGCGGCACAGGTGTTTTATATAAATGTGTCTTTAAGGGAACTGATTGTCTTCAGAAAAGTTTTGATGTAATTTTCATTTCATCTTTCCTATAATGCCTGCTAAAGTAGCGTTCATGAGCACAGCGCCAGAACAGAAACCACTGTTTCTGCCGCTCTTAAAGAGCGTCCTGCTGGCAGAGAATTAATTTGCACTTTCAATAAACCCGTCTTCTGTTTTATATTTACATTATATACACGTATATATTTCCCCCAGGGGAAGTGCCGCCACACATTGAGTGTAAGTCTGTGGGAAACACTGACTTGTGTATTCAGATAAACCTCATGAAACCTTTCTTGAAGATATTTAAGGTCATATTTCACCCTATTTCTCATAACTAATACATATGAACGTTTTCTGTGTTTTATTCACTGCTCTTAATCACATGACAGTAATAAGAATAAGACTTTGGAAAATGTCTCCAAAATCTCAATAATTTTTTTTGAGGCATTAGATTACTAGGTTACTTACATGCCAGGCCCCTCCAGGTGGTCCCTTTCCCAGTACAAGGTGGTGTGTGGCCCTTTCCGGCTCATGTCTCCATATCAGCGGGGAGGCGCAATCCACCCCAAAGTCACCATCTGGAAGGAGGAGGGCATCGAAGAGCACAGCCACAGGGTTTGACGAACGGCCCTCTACACCCTCACACAGGTACTCCAGATCCTACATGCACATTATAAAACAAAACTGGGTTTGATTTCTGTATTTGAACATGAGAACGTGTGCTCTTACATTCTGTCACTATTGACAATATTCACTAAAGGCCCCGATATACTCACAGCAAAGTTCTTTTTCGTTCTTCGTTTATGGGTAAAACAAAGTTCGAAATACGTGAGCAGTGGTATACCGTTATCGAACATCCTGACGCCGCCCACACTGAAGAGAGCAGCGTTTAGATGAATATGTAAATATGTGCTGCGCACTTTCCTCTCAGTAACAAAATAAACAACAAAAATGAGAGAACAGCAAGCATGTTTTTAAAGAAAGCATCTCATCACAGCAACATGGGTATGTTTGCACGACATCAGCAAATTAGCACTCCAGTAAAGTCACGTCACGTGTATTTACATGGCACTATATTGCTTAAAGGGGTCATATGATGCGATTTTAATTTGTTATTTCTCTTTGAAGTGTTACAAGCTCTTGGTGCATAAAGAAGATCTGTAAAGTTGCAAAGACTAAAGTCTCAAATCCAAAGAGATATTCTTTATAAAAGTTAAGAGTCAGCCACACCTACCTACGCCCCCACACGTCTACATCACTATGTGGGAAGATTTGCATAACGCTGCCCAAATGTTCACGCAAATAAAGAAGGCGTAACTTTTATTTTTGCTGTAGTATTGTTGTTGCCGCCACCATGACGTGAAGGTGCTGTGTGATTCGTTGTGAAAGCGAAACTTTGTTCGGCCTTCCAAAAGAGGACGATATCTGCTTCATCATGCCTGGAGCTGATCCGTGCTGGTTGCTGAGGAAATACTACAACTTTGCGCTGTGGATCGCCGGATCGGCTTTCACCGTGGACGAAGCGGAGTCCAGCCCGGGGGTCGTCACATGTGGTTGCCGCAAGCCTGCCCGCCGCGCCGTTCTTAAGCCGACCTCCACTCACTCTAGCCGGCCACTGCTAACTCTAGCCCCCAGCCTCTGCTCACTCTAGGCCACTGTGTGTGACGCTGTTTCGTTGTGAAAGCGAAACTACTTTGACCTGACAGGGCATCATCGCAGTATGGTAAGGGGCGTAACATTTCCGTCACACGCTTGAGGTATTCGGCCAATCACAACGCACTGGATAGCTGGCCAATCCCAGCACACCTTGCTTTTTCAGACCGATGAGCTTTGTAAAAATCGACGCGTTTCAGAAAGGCGGGGCATAGAGGAGAAACAATAATGTACAGTATGTGGAAAATAATGTGTTTTTTGAACCTTAAACCGCATAAACATTTCATTACACCAAATAATGTTATTTTTAGCAGCATCATATGACCCCTTTAAAAGCAAGCAGCTTTACAATATCAAACATGAAAAAAGTGCCTCATTTCATCAGAAGCACAACTTCATTTTCTGCTATAAAGCAGATCTCCAGCGTGTTCATGTTTTCTCCCGTGGAGATCTTACCTCAACGGACTCAACATACGAAATGAGCCAGAGAAGTGTTCTGCGTGAAGGAAGACGGAGCCTCAGCGCACACTTACCCATTACGAATTTTTTTTATTATAAGTAATTACCCATTACTTTTCCTGAGAGTTCACTTTGGCAAGCAATTTCGAACGCACAAAACAAACACAAAACTAACTTCGTTTTGGCCTGATTTCGTTTGAAATTATGACATAATTTCATTCTTCAAATTTAGTTTAAGTATATCGGGGCCTTAATCCTTGTAGTAGTCTATAGAGACTTTTGGTGAGAAACAATACAATTAATCAGCACTTGTTATGTAAATAGGTGTGGTAAATGTATATAGGGGGATTATGTGTATGTATTACCTGGTCAAACAAAGACAAAAGAGGGTTCTCTGTCAGCTTGTTATGCAAAACTGGGTTGGGATGGAAGCCATCGGGGGAAAAGTAAGGCGTGTATCCCGACAGCAAATAAGAGAGACAAATCCCTGATGGTCCATTACCTGAAACACAGCCATGCATGTGAATACTGGAAATGCTTTTATCCCATGCGCTTTACAAATGAAAAACATTATTGACTAATCCAAGAGGGCCAGAATGTCAAGTACAAAATTATCACACAGACTAAATAAAATTCAGTGACTGACCAAAAAGCTGCAACAGAACAACGGTTATCGCTGTTTTTAATCTGATATGATTTTGCGTTTAAATATGGTAAATGTAATTGAGCTGAAAGCATTATCAAAGTAGCCAAAATATTGAATAAATGCAAGTGGTGCTGGATGTGCAGAATATGCACATGCATGTGAATAACATGCATTCCAATTCTGTGCAAGGCTGCGCAGCTTTCTGTAGAGTTCTGCATGCACAGATTCCATTTGAGCCTGGCCATTAGTTAATTCTTGACCTCGGCTACAATACAACATTTCAAATTGCTCAGAAAAGTATGGCCTAGAACAAAGCCGACAACGAGAGAGAAACAACAGAACAAAAGTAGGGTGATTTTGCATGCATTATGCATGTAGAAAGTGCATTAACACCTGTGAGTGGTCATAGAAGATAGGGTGTCACATGTCACATGAACTGAGTGAAGCACATCTTAACCACACAAAGCTCAAAAACAGCAAATATATAATGTCAACTCTTACCAACAATGACAACCGGCAGGATATCCTCAGAAAATGTGTCTTTGTTGTGCAGCTCCATGGTGGCTCACCTGTTACATGAAAAAAAGAGAACAAATGGTGCATTGAAAAAGCTATACTCAACCATAAAACCCCCTCCCAAGATACACAATACCATATGACTTCATCCGCTTTCCACTTTCATAGTCATGACTAATATTACCCTCTTCTATTAGATAACCCTATATAATCTGCATTATAGTAAGGCAAACTATAAGCTTCAGCCAGTACTTCTTATGAATTAACTGATGTATTATTATTACATAACAGGACAAGTCCAATGTAACCATGAGTGTGCAGAATTTCTTAAAGTGACAGCGCCCTTTTAAAGCGGTTCGCGCCAAGGTCTAAATCGCCGAGTCATTCTGAATAGTAACCGCACGACGTGCCAGATGTCAAGTACACCTATTAATACACAAACACACTTAAATATAAAGCCCTGCTTAATATTTTAGTTAAATATATACGTGTGTAATGCACGTAGCTGAGTTTACAGACTCGAATGGAGTCCAGGGGGCGTGTGTGTCTGAGTAAAGTTACATAAGTTACGAGACGTTTTCGGTTCTGGACATGAGACACGATTTCTTTTCTGGTTTATGAGACTACGGTTAAAAAAAAAAATGTCAAAATTCATAAAAAAGGTTAACGATTCAAGGTCATTCGAGTTCAACGTTTAATAACTGTTAGCGCATCGCTTCAAAGTGTGTAACCAGCGTGTGATCTAGAAAGCTAAAATGATCGGACGCTCATTTTGTCTCGCTGAACTTAAAACACTTGAGATGCTTTCCCCACTGGCTTGCAAGCTAACAGCGAATCATTTTTGATCGACAAGTAGTAGCGACCCGCGCGCACAGCTCAGCTCTCAAGTCCATTCAAGGAACTAAACCGTACACTTTCACGTGCGCCTATACTTAAAGGTATAGTTAGTTCAGGCAAAAATAAAACTACTGTCATCACATACTCACGCTCATGTAACGTTACTTCCAAAAGTGAAGAAGCCGAAAGGAGACGTTAGTTAGAATGACAGTCTTACACATTTACTTTCTGTATATGGGCAAAAATGCAATGGAAAGTGAATGGTGACTGAAGCCGTCAGTCCCTAACATTCTATAAATGATATTTTTACTTTAATGTTGATAATGCATTTCATAATTGAGGTATTTGCGCTCCATAACTTTCCAGGGCAGTCGGCATGCGTTTCTCTTCATCGTTTCTCCATCGCAGCGAGCCTAGATGCGCGAACAGCCGGATCAGACACCCGAGACTGCAGGTTAACTGGATTGCTTCTACGGAAGATTACACAAAAGCCGGTAACCGTCTGCTGCGTAACCCAGATGCTTATATTTCAGTCGTGCCATTTTCATAACTGTAAGTAAGTGCACCGTCCAGACAGGACCAAGAGACAATCACGGGCACATTACGACGCAACACCAAATTAAGGAAACAAGAACAAAGAGGAGTTCAAATGACCCAAGAGGCGATAGGAGTGCAAAATATGAAGCAATTAATCAAATCACGATCGGTAACGATGTCAACTTTTCTAATGTTAGCTTACATTTACGTGATTAGCACAAACCATCACGAATTGAATGTAGAAAAAGCACGTAACGTTTACCTGTCATGCAAATTCCCCGAGATCCGAATAACTCGCAGTTCACCTAAGACAGCAAAGCCTTGAATGTTGAAGTAGAGCGGCTCTGTTGATATTTTAAATTAAAAGTTAAAATACACAAGCAGCTTGTCCCCGATGTGTTGGCTGTAAAGCGAGATGCCACACCGTTACAGCCCCACGATACTCGTGCGTTTAATGGCTTTTATAATTCTTCTTCACCCGACCTCCCATACGAGCCAATCATAGAGCGAGGACGTGACGATTAGAATTATGATTGGTTGGGCGAGGGGTGACGAAAGAGCGTGTCCTAGCTTGTAGTTTTCCACTCGCTGATATTGATCTCATCTCTGATTGGCCTGAATCTAGCTCTCGCTCCACATCAGCCAATCAGCAAACGCAGCGGCTTGAAGGGGTCGCTGCCATAGCATTACCATCGCAACGGCTCAAGGAAACTAGTAATGTTAAAACTCAAAGCAATCTCCATTACAGAAAGTTATTACTTTTTTTCCCCGGCCCCATAAACAATTATGTTAGCCTTTCTTTTAATAAAAATGTGAATTATTTATGGAAGATTCACAAGACAAAAACTAAATGTTTATATCTTACAGAATATACGTAATGTGAATATGCTACAGTTTTGTGTATTTCATTTATATTCGTGGTTTGTGTATTTGTCTGTGCATTTGGTTTGTATATTTGTCTATATCTGTATTTGTCCGTGTCATTTTTTTTTCAAACATTGTGTTTTTCGTTTTGATAGCACTGGCTCTTTTCTCCTTAATTAAATGAATGGCCATTCAAGATACAGCATGAAAACAGATTTTTCTGACTGGGTGATATTACTTGGTCAGGTCAGGTGACTCCTGTTCCTGACCCTCTTTTTGTGATTTATATTCCTTTTGTACTGAACTTTGCACATGCTCAGTGTGCTTGTTGTAAAAGTATAGATGTAAACCCTTTACACCAATCCTCATATTTTAATTACAACATAAAATCAATAATAGTACGTGACTTGGTGACATGCATTCTAGGTCAGGTGATGCTTGACTTCTGTGTTGCTTTCTTTGACCCCCACCCTCCTCAAAACAGAAAGAACGTTTCCATTGTTGGGAACTAATTAGGCTACTTAAATCCTCATTCAAGGTCTTTTCTCATGGGTGTATTTGGGTTCCCATGAACATTTTGTTGAGTTATGAAAGGAGACGTTTTAATAAATAGTACAAGGAAACAGTGCCTGCTTGGCAACTTCTATGATTAAGAAGTAGAACAGCATGTTCTAGAAATATGATCACACCTTCGAAAAAGGGAACCATGCTGCCTGTGGACTGGAATCATAAATTCAAATTGTTCATACAGTTCAGATGAAGAACAAATACAATATAGTATTTTGTGGCAATATTTTGATATATACCATACACCATGATATTTACACTCCAAGGCATTTCAAAGAATGTTTGGGGGAAGTCGTGCCATATATGAAGTCATATGGGGAAGTTGTGGCCTAATGGTTAGAGAGTTGGACTCGTAACCCAAAGCTTGCAGGTTCGAGTCTCGTACTGGCAGGGATTGTGGGTGGGGGGAGTGAATGTACAGCGCTCTCTCCCACCTTCAATACCATGACTGAGGTGCCCTTGAGCAAGGCACCGAACCCCCAACTGCTCCCCGGGCGCCACAGCATAAATGGCTGCCCACTGCTCCTGGTGTGTGTTTAATCCACTTTGGATGGGTTAAATGCAGAGCACCATGTCACGTCACTTTTTTTTTTTAGAATGCTATAATGGTTACCATTGCAATGGGTCTAAAATGGTATGTCACAAAACAACATAAAACTGCATAAACTGTACACTTGTAAATAACATCTGTACATTCATTTGATCTCTTTGTTTCTACTTCTGTATATAGTGCATTATTTAATATTCTGTTCTTATATTAGTGTTGTACACTCTTAAAAATAAAGGTGCTTCAAAAGGTTCTTCAAGCGATGCCATAGAAGAACCATTTTTGGTTCCACAAAGAACCATTCAGTCAAAGGTTCTTTAAAGAACCATCTCTTTCTTACCTTTTTATAATCTGAAGAACCTTCTTTCGCCACAAAGAACCTTTTGTGAAACAGAAAGGTTCTTCAGATGTTAAAAGTTCTTTATGGAACCATTTAGACAAAAAGGTTCTTCTATGGCATCGTGAAGCACCTTTATTTTTAAGAGTGTATTTCATCTTTACTGTGTATATGTCTGCACTATCATGCATGTTTGTACTATGTCTGTACTTTCTTCTACACTGGAAGCTCCTGTCACCAAGTCAAATTCCTTGTGTGTGTAAACATACTTGGTAATAAAGCTCTTTCTGACTTCTGACTTCTGATTTCTGAAAAGAAAAATAAGGAATTAACAGTGAACCATGTCTAAACTGTCTGTGCAATGCAGTGGCGGAAATCATTGCAGCATTGATTGAGGCGTTGCTAAGAGTTTTGAGGTTTGGAAGGACTTGATTTTGGCTATCTACCAAACATTTACCTGAAGAACATGAACGTCTTGGGATCAGTTAAGGATTGTAAAGCTCCAGCTAGCAGGGAACGTTCCCAGAACATTAGCTAACATTCTGTACAGGTTTGGTTAATGTTTTAAAGGAAACATTTGAATGCAATGTTTAAAGAATATTTTAATGATGTTTTTTTTTTCCATTTCAAATAACGTTCCTATAATGTTTAATAAACAAAGATATCACATTTTAACTGTAACTTTTTATGGATGTTTCGCAAATTGTTTTTGAGGTAACAGATTATACATTATTGATGAAACGTTGGCAAAATATTGCATACTAACATATGAAGAACATTCTCTCAGCCACATTAGGAAAACGTTATAAGAGCATAATTGAGGAATAAGAGGATGGAATGATTTTTATAAAACATTCTCATAATGTGATGTTTTGAGGATGTTGTTGAGGTAACAGATTATACAATAATTAATAAAATGCTGCCATAATATTGCATAATAATATATGAAGAGTATTCTCTCAGTCACATTAGGAAAACATAAGAACATAATCGAGGAAGAAGAGGACGGAATGTTTTTTTAATTTTTTTATAAAACTTTCTCATAATGTGATGTGTTAACAAATTTAGACTGCATCATTTTGAGGATGTTGTTTACACTTTAAAAAAAGTCCTATTTTTATGGAAAATAACGCTAAAATGTTTACAGTACTTTTCTGTTATTTTAATAATATTCAAAACTTAGTAAAATTACAAACAATATCTGTAAATTAACAACTTGACTGTTATTTTACATATTATATCATTAAAGACATATGTTTTTTACAGGAAAATTACTGTATTATTTATACAGTATTCTTCTGTTATTTTAAATTATATTCAAAACTGTAAAATGACAAACAGTATATGTAAATTAACAACTTGACTGTTGTTTTAAGTATTATTCCATTAATGACAAATTACAGTAATTTTCACTGTATTATTTATACAGTATTTTTTCCTGTATATGTAAAATTACAAAAATAATCTGTAATTAAATATGTAGCTCATTGTACTAAAGATTTATGTCCATACTAACAATTTAATGTTCTTCTTTGTAATTTTAAAGTAAATCTTATTAGTTTTATATTTAGGTGTAATTTTATATTCAAACGCTGTCATTCTGAGCACAAATTTTGCAAACCGTTGTCATTACGTCAAACAATGCCGATCTGCTTTTAAAGAGTACAAAGCTGCACTGCCAGGTTGAAACTTTCAGGCCTTTGCCCACACATTAGCTGATCCAAATTGCTTTACAAAGGAAATTGTAAATAGAGATGAGAAAAGCACACATATCTTTTACAAGCTCAAACTCCCCAAAAACCAACCAACTTTAACAAACACACTTATATGGAATACAACCATCTTGATTGCTATCTGATCAGAATGTGCATTCGGAGTGTGTGAGAGACATTTGGATACTAGAAAAAGCAGAACATGTAGAAAAGGGTCTAAAAGTACTGGAATGTATCCCAGCATGGATACATACTGGGATATATACGTATATGTCAAATATGGACAATTTAGAATCCTCAATTTGTCAAATGTGCATTTCTTTGTATTATGGAAATACTTGCTGTGAGGTGACAGGACTAAGCCGTCATCTTGCAAGCATAGCGTTGAAATGAATGACAATATACATCTTTTTGCATCTTCAGTAAACAAGCCACAGGTAGTCCAAAATACAGCAGCTAGAGTCCTTACCAGGTCAAGAAAATATGATCATATTACAATTTTACAGTCTCTGCACTGGCTACCTATTAAGTTCCGTATCAGTTACAAAATATTATTACTTTATGTCTCTATTTGTTTCTCTGTTTATGCCACGGGATTGACATCCTGATAAATAAAAATAACTGCTTTATTTATTTAGAAGCAGGGTCATTTAAATTTCATTTTTGTATTGTAATTTTTATAATTTTTATTTTATTAATCGAAATACAACGCCCACAATATAATATTCAGTGTTGGGATGCCGAAACTCCGAAAGCGTTGAGGGTCGAGCTGAGAAGCCTACTAATGTCTTCATCCGTTTGCAACAAAACTTTATAGTTTTGTTGCAAACGAATTAAGAATTTATAGTGCTATATCTCAGTTTAATTAAACATAATTATATTGTATATAATTATTGTATACACAGTTTTAAAAATATGTAAAAATATTGCACTGAAATGTGCCTGAAGGAATTTGCGTATTTTAACTATACCTGTCATGTTTGTGTTTTTTCATCATTATACAGTCTGTTTTAATAAATATTCAGAAACACATGCAGTGCTACTATTTTGTCTTTTTTCTGTTTAACTTTTATTAAACTGCAGATCAAAATAGAACAGGCCTATACACTCAATTGTATTGTATTGTTAGTGCATAATGTTCCAACAATGTTATAAATGAAACATTTTAGAAAAACATTCTGGGAACTACCAGCTGAAAACTTTATAAGAATGTTAATGTTCTAACAATATTATGTCCAAACTAGAAGATCATCACAAAATATCAGAAGAACATTGTAAGAAAAGAAAAAAAACTTTCCGTAAAAACCTTTATTAGAATGTTAAGAAATAATGTTCTAACAATGTTATCACTACACATTTTTAGGATGTTTTTAGAAAATGTTATCCAATCTTTTAAGAGAACATTCTGAGAATAAAAATAAAACTACCCTGACAACTGAAAACTTTAAAAGAACATTGGAGAATATTGTTCTAACAATAAAACCAATAAGAAAATCCACCCACGCCTTGTTTTAAATCTTCACTAAACCAAATCAGTCTCATTAGACATGCCGTTTTGATTCTCTGAGCAGTGTGACGTTACATTGTTTAGGCCCCGCTCACGGCCGCTGACTGACACCGCTGTATTAGAAGAGACCCTGCTCTAAGTGAGCTGCACACAATCCACCACGTTTATCTTCACACTAGAGCATTAAAGTTAGAAATATCTTCTTATTAAAGCTATAGAAGTTATTCAAGTCAAGAGCAGTGAGTGATTTTCTTTATAGGTACTATTACACTGCTGTCACTTAATACACAGATCTAATATAAACATGTGATTTCTTTCCCAGCTGTTTACCTTCAAAGACATAACCGACAGTTTTTGTAATGTGTTTTTAACATGACCTTGTGTGTATTTGACAGTTTAAGCGCAATAAGACATGAAAGAGAACTTACCTTAGTAACGTTAAAGGGGTCATATGATGTTGCTAAAAAGAACATTATTTTGTGTATTTGGTGTAATGCAATGTGTTTATGCGGTTTAAGGTTCAAAAAACACATTATTTTCCACATACTGTACATTATTGTTTCTCCTCTATGCCTCGCCTTTCTGAAACACGTCAATTTTTATAAAGCTCATCGGTCTGAAAAAGCTAGGTGTGCTCTGATTGGCCAGCTATCCAGAGTGTTGTGATTGACTCCAAAGAGAAAGGAAAAATTGAAATCGCATCATATTACCCCTTTAAGTTATTCACATGCCGTGTGACCAGTGTTGCCAAGTCTGCGGTTTTCGGAATTGGGCTACTTTAACACTGTTGCCGCGGGTTGTTTTTCATGTCCGCGAGTTGAAGCGACTCCAATAACATGATATTTATCCCCTGGAAACGCGATTGAGCTAGTTTTGAGTAGCGATTGGGTGGGTTTCTTGTGAAAACCTGGCAACCCTGCATGTGACAGCCGCTTTCTGTAGGATGTGCTTCGGATGTGTGCGCTCAGAAAACACTATATCAGAAGTTTAAACTGAAATGGCTTTAAAAAGCATGATTTCAGCACAATAGACATGATAATCAAAACCAAACAGATGTTTTTTGGCAGAGTATTTGAGGTATGAGCTGTAAGGAAAAGGGGGCGGGGAGCAGCAGCTCGTTTGCATTTAAAGATATATGCACGAAAACAGCGTGATTCTGCTTCCTATTAAAATAGGCATTTTAAAAATGATATAATAAATAATCTGTGGGGTAAAAAGGGGCATAATAGGTGCCCTTTATGATATCTAGACTACACTTATTGGAATTATTAATCCAGAGATGAATAGTTTCAAATGTAGATTTTTTCTAATCATTTTTCATTTTAAATGTATACATTTTCCTATCTGTAATTAGTGGCTTTAACACAAGCATTTTGTCATGGACCAAATGTTTCATTTTAGCCCTTTCACACTATGACTCAACAAGTTTCCAGTTAGGCAGAATGTGGGGCCCTATTCAAAAGGCTTCCGAAAGCACTTCTCTTTAGTCTATCCAAGAGTCAGCAGCACTCACAATGAGAACCAAGTCTGTGTTATCACAATGTGTCGCTTCATCAGCTCAAGAGCAAAAGAATGGTAACATGAAAATCTGATTCAACAGGTTCTGTGCTGTTGTCATGGTAGCTCTAAAGTTATGTAAATGCTTATGCAACATCATCCATACAATCTGCACAGAAACCACGAGAATGAAAAGGACGCAACTGCGGTGTAAGGCAACCTTGGGTTTGTTTATATAAGGTTCTATGTTAACATTTGTTAGCATTAGGTATCATAACAGCAAACAATCACTTTTTACAGCTTGGGTAGTGTTAATGTATAGGCATTCTATTATTCATAATATATTAATTTTAATGCATGTATTTAAAAATGAACAATGACCATAAATGCTGTGAAAATAGTTCTCATGGTTTTAGTTCATTTTAAGTACACTGTTAATATGTGCTGACTAATGTTAGCGTATACAACCATGTTGTGAAGTATTACCTACCTTGGATTCCAGTGACAGAGAATTTCAATTATTTAAACGTCAAAGAAAGCTATCAAATATTAACTTGTGATTTATTACAACTGATAATTTGATCATTTTATAGCTGAAGATCAGTATTCAAATGTAAATGATCTCAAATAAACATCTCAAGATAAATATGAGGAAATCTACTTAACAACTAATGGTTAAATATTAATTTAATCCATTGAAAGAGGTGAAAGGACACCAAAACAATGAAAAAGGAGTATTTGAAAAACAGTTTATGCGGAGTCATTCTGACTTTCACCTGGCTTTATTGACGTCTCCCAGTAATAACTTGCACAAAATTATTGTAATATAATTTAAGGCAAATGCTAGGAAGCTAATACATAAAAAACAACAACAACAACAAGTTAGCATTATTCCCAGTTTGTGCACTGGGAATAATGCTAAATCTTTTCATTTCACTCAAGACAGCTTAAAGTATTTGGCAGACTGAAGCAGGTGGGGCATCTTTGCTCAATTTTTTCCCTATTTAACCTTGTTTCACCGTCATTAATTAGCTAGACTTATAAAGCTCCCATTGGCATGTCAGTGACAACACGTTTGACAGCATTTAAAGGTATTTCATAACTACAAAATGCTTTTGAATTGTCTATAGCATCTATAGAATATGCAGAGAACTTTAAACTTGACTGAGAAGTCTATTCATTACTTCACTCATCAAGTCATGATATCAGCAATGTTATGTACATACTTGAACTGTGACACAATATTTGCTGACATGAGAGATTCTTCTTCTTCGTTTCCCCATAAAAACACACGACAGGCTCAATTTAAATAGCACTTTTTCCTTAAAAGAAAACAGATCATAAGACTGCTGTTGTGCACTGAACATAAAAGGTTGATCTTTTATAAGTTTTGATAAAACCCCTAAATCAACATCCAACATGGTTTAACAAAACACAACTGAGAAATAATCTTTATTGGCATTTTAATCACCACATAATTTACAAATGGTTTCAAATCAGTGTTATGACATCCAAAATGGCCCAAACTTTCCTTTCAGGCTGAAAGGGGAACCAGAGTTATGTGAAATGGAGGTCATGTAATGCGTAATACTTCAGTGTGCACATTTCTGAACCGCTTGTAGTAGGCATTCAAAACGAAAAAGAAAAAAAAAATTCCTGAAAACACATTGAAGTTTTTCAAATGTCATTGCTAAGTTAGGAAAAAGATTCCCTGCAGCTCCATCTCTGATGCAAGCAGGAGAGAAGCCCTTAATTGTGCCAACTACAGACATGTTCACAGGCCATTCAAATGTTTCTTACTTGGTACCGAGAGACATTAATGAACTTAAAGGGTTAGTTCACCCAAAAATGAAAATTTTGTCATTAATTACTCACCCTCATGTCGTTTCAAACCTGTTAGACCTTCCAATTCCTGAAAACACATTGAAGTTTTTCAAATGTCATTGCTAAGTTAGGAAAAAGATTCCCTGCAGCTCCATCTCTGATGCAAGCAGGAGAGAAGCCCTTAATTGTGCCAACTACAGACATGTTCACAAGCCATTCAAATGTTTCTTACTTGGTACCGAGAGACATTAATGAACTTAAAGGGTTAGTTCACCCAAAAATGAAAATTTTGTCATTAATTACTCACCCTCATGTCGTTTCAAACCTGTTAGACCTTCGTTTATCTTCGGAACACAAATTAGGATATTTTTGATGGATGACCCTGCATAGACAGCAATGCAACTGAAATATTCCCAAGTCCAGAAACGTAGCAAGGAGATCGGTAAAATAATCCATGTGACATCAGGGGTTCAACCGTAACCGCAAAAGAAAAAAAAAAGTGATGCGGAGGAGATGAATTGTCGAATAAAGTCGTTTTTTTTTCTTTTTCGCACAAAAAGTATTCTCGTAGCTTCGTAAAATTACGGTTGAACCAGTGATGCGGAGGAGATGAATTGTCGAATAAAGTCGTTTTTTTTTTCTTTTTCGCACAAAAAGTATTCTCGTAGCTTCGTAAAATTACGGTTGAACCCCTGATGTCACATGGATTATTTTACCGATCTCCTTGCTACGTTTCATGACTTGGGAACATTTCAGTTGCGTTGCTGTCTATGCAGGGTCATCCATCAAAACTATCTTAATTTGTGTTCCGAAGATGAACGAAGGTCTTACAGGTTTGAAACGACGTAAGGGTGAGTAATTAATGACAGAATTTTCATTTTTGGGTGAACTATCCCTTTAAGTCTGTTGTTCATCCAAGGTAAAATGGAGTAGAGAAATTAATAAAATAAAAAAAAACACAATAATAATCACCATGAGGACTGAAAGAAAAAAAAATTGGTACTGGCTAGTACAACTGCTCAAAATGGTCAAAGTCAGTAGTTTGTCAAAATGCTGTATTATACCACCAAAAAAAAAGAAAAGAAAAGTTGTCTTAATCAGTCTGTCTTGTTGCCCAGTAACAATATCTAAACAGTGTCAAAACAATTTAAAAAACACAATAATAATCACCATGAGGACTGAAAGAAAAAAAAATTGGTACTGGCTAGTACAACTGCTCAAAATGGTCAAAGTCAGTAGTTTCAGTCAAAATGCTGTATTATACCACCAAAAAAAAGAAAAGAAAAGTTGTCTTAATCAGTCTGTCTTGTTGCCCAGTAACAATATCTAAACAGTGTCAAAACAACATACATTAATAAATCCTTAGAAACAAAGAAAGACAAAAAAATAACTTTGTACCCACCTCATGTGAGCCAAAACAGTAAAGTTCTGTATCACTCAGATACCTTCAGTCGGCCCCCATTATCAAAAAGTCTCTTACAAAACAGCTTTGGTCCAAGAGGGGGTGTCAACATTCAAACATGAGGTAAAACGCTCAAATGTGCAAAAGAAAGTAACAGGTTTAAAAAAAAAAGGCAAACTGAGCTGAGAGAGTAAAAGAACCGGGGAAAAAATGTAGTGTGGAAAGTTATTAGAGTATGAGAGTGTGAGGCAGTCGGTGAGATCTCCGTAAGACTTGTGAAAGAAGGTCACTTTAACACTAGAGTGGCTTCCGTGCCGTCTTTCTTCTTCAGATAGAGGCCGTGGGTCAGGTGATGTTCTCGACGCAGGTAGGCGTAGAAATAATCTGACACCAGGAGGATCTGTGGTGGTGTAAACACACATGACATTAGGTTCATGTAATCTGTAAACTTTACAGTGAATTTTCACAGTACTTTTTTGTTTACCTTAAAGACTTGTTGCTCAAAGTGTGAGCAAAACAGACAACGAGTCAGCTATATTTCCAGTTGTGTTTAGGTGAAATGGCTTATCAAGATGGGACCCTTTACCTGTCCAAAGTTGAAGAGCAATGTGATGGCATAGTAGAAATTAGAGTTGGCACTGCCAGCGTATATCCACAGATGCCAGAGTACAGGAAAGAGCGCGGAGCACGCCAACAGCACACATGACACCAGAAAGATGTTTCTCAAAACTGAAATAGAGAAAGAAAGAAATAAAGAAAACAAATTTCTTGTAGTTGATTTCTTTATAAAGCTTGCTAGCAGATTTCAGCCTTATCTAGATGCACAATATCAAACTGAGTGCCTATACAGCTCTATACAGGCTTCAACAGAATCTGCGCTCAAAGAATTCAACTGGGAGCTCTACATATTTCTGCAGAATTTGAATAATAGTCATTCACAAAGTTCTACAGAAGCTTAACTTCTTGCATCTGTGTGTATTAAATTAAATAGTTTGAAATTACAACAATGCAATTGCCAAATGCAGTGCCTCAATTAAAACATTTTACCATGTTTAATTTTGATTTTCCTATGAAATCAGTGCAGAAAATGTGAAAATTGTACACGTTATTTGTAAAGGTGCTTTGGAAAAGTGCTAAATATATTGAACAGTCTATATATATATATATATATATATATATATATATATATATATATACACAAACAGTATACACTACATTTTTTTTTTACACACATATATATATATATATATATATATATATACACAAACAGAATATACTCCACATTTTATTAATTCACAGAGAAAAAAAGTTTGGGGTCAGTAATTTTTTAAAATGTTTTTGAAAGAACTCTCTTATGCTCACCAAGGCTGCATTTAACTGATCAAAATACAGTATTAAAAAAAATTATATTTGTGAAATATTATTACACCTTAAAATTACTTTTTTTTTAATCTGCTTAATATTTTTGTATAAAGTGCAACACGATAATTTTTTTCAGGCTTTTGGATAAATTGAAAGTTCAAGACAACAGCATTTATTTGAAACAGAAATCTTCAGTAACCGTAAAAAACTTTTTACTGTCAATTTTGATCAATTTAATGCATCCATACTGAATAAAAGTATTAATTTCTTTCAAACAAAATTCTTCCTGACCCCAACCTTTTGTATGGCAGTGTGTCAATATGTAATGCATTGAGAGTGTACAAAATCATAAAAGGTATAATTTATGAGCACTTTCACATTACTAAAGAATCAAAATTGAGAATTCAAAATTATAAATCGAGGTTCTGTCTTTTAGCTTATATGATGTGTACTTCTAAAAACTGATAAAATAAACTTTTAAAATTTTAAATTGACTTCTTTTCTAAAAACAAACAGCTCAACTGATTATTATAATAAATAATATTTTTTCTTTTCTTTACTTATTATCACCGGTCTCTGACTAGCAATAGTAAGTAGCAAATGGTTCATGGTAAAAAAAAAAAAACATGCACTTTGATATGCCTTACTCCATTTAGCTGTTTCAATAGCAAATCTGTCAACATATTTAAATGAAAACTGATACTCACATCGATAAAGGTGACTCCAGGCCGGCAAAAATGCCATGTAGAGGGCGACATCTCCCACAGTAGGGTACGACTTAAAGATGGAGATGATGGCGATCTGCATGAAGATGAGGAACACTGGATGCTCCCTGTTTGATTGAATTGTTTACCCATGAGAGTGCTATACATGCTAAATAAAAAGCATTGCTCATGTTCAGGTATATACAGGACCTACTTGAGTTTGATGGAGAGCGGGATGGTGTAAAAAAAGACATTGATCTGAAAAACGCAGATGAAGAAGAGACGGAAATGCTCAAACATCTCTGCAAAGAAGTACCAGAAGAGTCCGATGTTTGGAGTCAGGTCTGGGACAGAAAATCTGTGGAATACACACACAGTAAATATTAGAATAATAAATACATATTTAAATATAAGTGTACGGCATATGACTGACATGAATCCATAGACAGAAGGGATGAAGTCCCAGGAGCCCAGGAGGAAGAAAGAGAGTCCAGTGATCACCACCAGACTGCCTACATATATGAACGCATACTGAAGAGTGAAGAACCAGAAACTGCTCCTCCTCAGGTTCACTGGGATATATAACCTCTGAAACAGACAGAGAGAGAAGCTTCATTTTGGCCATCAGAGCAATGCATCGGCATTAGTCTGAGTTCAGACTCTCACCTGCAGGAAGAATAGGAGTGCCGGAGCAAACAGGGTCAGAGGATAGATGGACTGATATGTAGCCAAGGCCAACAATATGCCACTCAACAAGGCACTACCTGAAGAATCCACAACAACACCACATATAGCAAACCACAGATAATTAAGTGTTTTTCCTACAGCAAAGTAGAAGAATGCAAATCAGGTCTGGCCCACCTTTAAGTGTACTAAGGGAACACTCACCTTTTAATGTACAGAGAATGAAGAGCGCAATAATGGCATTGTTCAGTCCACAAGTTGACTTTGCCACACAAGACAGGATGGTGAAGGGATTTAACAGATAACTGGAAGACAATTAGGCAAATGGAAACATGTGTTTCTTTTTTAAATGAAAAAGAAAAGTGATAGCATAATAATGATTTAAAGCCTGATCAGGACTTACAACATGGCAACCTTGAGGGGGATGTAGAACATTTCCTTGGGAGAGCGGAGGAGCTCCAAACAGTCGGCGGGATACCGGTCCGATTCCAAGGCATACTTCTGTTTTCTAAACTACAAAGTAAACAAAGATGCAAGATATGTTTATCTATAAAATATTTAAAACTATAATATAAAATAATACTAATAATATTAAAATACAATGAATTAATAGACTCTAACCTATGAAACATCAACAAAAATACAAGCTATAACTTACCACATTCTTATTATAAGTCTGAATTGACAGATAAAGAGCCACTGCCGTGAGTCCATCTGCTATCTGGTGACAAACCATTATATGGGAATATTTACATGTGTACAAGCAGTGAATTGTACAAAAACACAAACACACAGTAATGGTTACACTGTAAAAAAAAAAATCTGTAGAATTTACCGTAAAAAAACGGCAGCTGTAGTTGCCGGAATTTTACCGTAAAAAAAAATACGGTAGCGACGTTTTAGGTTTTAACTTAAATTTAGAGTTAAATACCATAATTTCATTAACTGATATAATGTTAATATACCTACGGTAGCGACGTTTTAGGTTTTAACTTAAATTTAGAGTTAAATACCGTAATTTCATTAACTGATATAATGTTAATATACCAACCTATTGAAGTACTGAAATCTGTTTTGTACGTTTGTAATACACTGATAACCACCAAATGCAGGTGGTGATGAGAAAGTCACATGATGAACCAAAGCCCATCACAAGCAGTTTTTAAATAATAACATATATAGAAGGTGCACAGTGTCGTTCAAACAAACACTAAACACCATCATGGTAACACACATGAAACTGAAATAATGCAATAAACATTCATTTAACAACATTAACCCTAATATACTAAACTGATAAGAAAAAACTACGAAGAAACAGTTATTTCAACAGAAAAACATCACATTTGAAATGTAACGCAGGGAATTCTGGGAATGTCAATTTACTTTACAAGTTATTCACTGTAAATTATACGGTCTTTTTCACTACCAAAAACAGTATACTACCGTAAAATTACATGTAATGTTTCCACCGTATATAGTAGGGGAATTTACCGTTAACCATTTAACAGGTTTTTACTGTAGCATTTTTACAGTCTTTTACCATATAATGTATCCACCGTATATAAAAGGGGAATTTACCGTTAACCATTTAACAGGTTTTTACTATAGCATTTTTACAGTCTTTTACCGTTTAATTCACGATCACTTTTTACAGTGTATAAACTATGATCTTAATTCACAGCAACCTGGAAAACTGCATAGTAAATCAGATTTGGAATGGCCATTTCTGCAAGGTACAACGATGTAAGATAACATTAAAGACAAAAAACTAAATCAGGACTTACCATAAAAACAATCTCTGCATAGTCGACCATAAAATGAAAGAGGTATATCATAAGGGGTGTCTGGAAGAAATAAAAAGAACAATTAAACACTGACATCCGAGTATAGACTTGAAAAGAAAATGAATCAAACACAAGGTCAAATAGAACTTACTTCATGAAACACATCTCCTGAGTAAGGCGAGACCCCCAGATCCAACAAGGCAAGACCCTCTACAACTGTTTAAAGTCATATTATGCAGTTAATAAGCAAAGAATAATTTTTTACAGTGTATAAACTATGATCTTAATTCACAGCAACCTGGAAAACTGCATAGTAAATCAGATTTGGAATGGCCATTTCTGCAAGGTACAATGATGTAAGAAAACATTAAAGACAAAAAACTAAATCAGGACTTACCATAAAAACAATCTCTGCATAGTCGACCATAAAATGAAAGAGGTATATCATAAGGGGTGTCTGGAAGAAATAAAAAGAACAATTAAACACTGACATCCGAGTATAGACTTGAAAAGAAAATGAATCAAACACAAGGTCAAATAGAACTTACTTCATGAAACACATCTCCTGAGTAAGGCGAGACCCCCAGATCCAACAAGGCAAGACCCTCTACAACTGTTTAAAGTCATATTATGCAGTTAATAAGCAAAGAACTTGAAGACATTTCACCCTTACACGACCATCAAATACATAAGTAATTGTATTCAAGGCAGTGAAGTGAACGATATTGATAACAGGTCTGTAAGTGATTTCTTTTGAAACAACGCCCAAAAAACACATCACTTCAATGTTTATTAATATTTGCCAGACTGTTTAAATATAACATGGATGACGGATGGAACACAGATTTGATGTAAAATCAAACTTAGGAGCAAGCTGCAGTAATGCAATCTATTCAACACAAGACATACTGTAAATAGATATTAAGATGGGTGCCACGACAGGCTGTGGAGTTCAAATCTGCGTATTCTATTGATGCTGTATATTTGGGATCAGATATATGAGTAAACAATAATGTTACCAACAATAACTGAGTTAAAAATAAAGCATGAAAACATGATGTGCTGAAAATGTCTTCATTTGACAGCTCAGCAATGCTGCCATGCAAGAACATACCATCAGTATACAGCATTCCCATATAGAAAAAAATACATTAACATACCTCGTTTCCACGCATTCAAAGGCGACACCACCTCGACCCTCTCTAAAATTAATTCCGCCAGACTGGAGCGGAATAAAACGGCTCTTATTGTAACAGCCACTATCAGCAGGAGGGTTAATGGCGCCGCCATTTTTGTCGCGAGGAAGAAGCTGTCAGCGCGATGCACTCTGGGAAATGAAGTTCACCGCCAACTTCCTGCTTAAAGATTCATAAAGGAGAAATGGGAGATTTAGTTAGTCTACTGGAATTTACCAATTGGAATTCACGGGAACAGATGACAGATTTAAATCACATACTATCTTATATTCCGTATGTGCAATACAATAATAATACAGTGGAACATGATCGTGTGTGTCCTACTTGAACCCTTTCACTGCTCTTACAGATTTCATTTTTCGTGACTGTATTTCTCTCAGGACCACTATCGTCAAAGATGATTGACAATTAGCATACAGTTTGGATTGGCGGTATGGTTCTGTTCTGGGCAAGAACTCCCTGCGCATCCATGCAGCCTAGCATGGATGAGAGCAGGGAGAGCAGCGATAACCCCCCCAGGGTAAACAGAACAGAACCAACATAAATGTATTGCAGATATCGTTAAAGTTCAATAATTTATGTACACATTTTAGAATTAGTCTGATTCAAGGAGAATCAGAAGGCTGAATCCTGACTGACAGAGGAGGAGCTGGGGATGGAGGAGGGTAATTAGCTATTGAGCAATACGAAAACTGCTGATAATACTGAGAGACCTTATATATGAATGCTTAGATAGGTGTCGTATTCCCATAGGTAGATGGGGATCAGCTGAGAGTCAGCTGGCAAGAAATAAGGATGTGTGACTGAAATAAATTTTTAATAAGCTGAGCTTTCTGTTCTGGTGAGATTGACTTTCTTTATATTTGGAGTCCCAGAGACCCCAATTAATCTATAACTTTACTTTCAATTTTTTTTAATGTTCATCTGAACTAATCAAAACCCAGCAGACAGATATTGAAGCTTTAGCCCTCTGTTGTATCAATGGGCATGCATTTTATCTTTATGATTTTTATCTAGAATATTAATATTGTTTCTGTTTGGGCTTAAGTTGACCTTGCAAGGAATATACTACAATGAACAGGAACATTTATTTGCATTTATAATTTTTTTAACTAGCGATATTGGTTTATTTAATCGTTGTTTTAAGCTACTTGATATGCAGTATTTCTAAAATCCTGTAAGTAGAATGTGCAATAATAATTTGTCTTCCACATTCAGGTCGAAAAGCCTCAGCAAATGTGGATGTCAACTGCAAACTCAATTCAAGTCTGGCTCTATTCAGGAATAAAACACCCACTTTTCATGATCCAGCACTTCCTGTGGGTAAAATCTACATTTCTTCCATTTCACTGAAAAATGCATCACTGTGGAAATCAAATAAATTGTGAATGGATTGCATGATGACTTCTGATGTATATATATTTATTATTTAATGTTTTTTAAATTTAAATGTGAGGTTTTCCCCCCAGTGTTTCCTGTGTATCTTGTATCATTAAGTTACTGACAGCTGCCAATAACATTATCAACCAACTCATGCTGACCCAAACTTTAGAATGCTTGCTGCAACTTTGAAAAAAATTCTTTGAAAGAATGAAAAGCATTACACCAGAAGCCGAAGTCAGACAGCTATCAAAGGCTGTGCTCACCTTTCAAATCCCTGCCTATGATGTTTTCTCCATTCCTTTGCTTTTAATTCAACAGGAGTCTCTTTCTGTTTGACTGAGGATAACTCATTCCATCCCGCCTGAAACTCTGTGTATGTCTTTCTCTCACGGAATCTCAATTGTCTGGCATGCTGAGAGTCTTATATAGTGTGTATAGTTTGTAAAGATCAGCAAATAAAAACCTGGCATACGATGTGTGCTCATAAATCAAGGTGACAATGATCAGAGATATTCAAGTTGACTTTGAACATGGGATTTTTATTGACAGAATGAATAATATCCAGAAGAACAAGATAATAATGCAACAATCAATTTAAATGCTTATAATACACCTTAGTATCTCATAACAAATTCAAATGAATATTATTCAATCCCCTTTTCTTGGCAGAGTCTCCTAGAGCTTGCTTTAATGTTTATTAAATTGATATTAATTTGACTTTATTATTTATTAACTTTATTAATTTGCTTGATTTAGGCAGCAAAATGAGAAACAAAATTCATGAAAATTTAATCGTGTTTTGCAGGCATGAATTAACATAAAAACCAACTGCCTGCCCAGAGGCCTCCATTGACCCGATGGCCCTGAACTGTCACAGATATTGTGCACATACAATTAAATTCATGTTTTTGACAGTGTGAGTGAAAATGAAGAAATTATTTTAATATGGGGTTTTGTGATATGAAGTAGCCATTTTGCATGAAGGAAGAATGAAGTGCAGATAATGATCAACAGAAAAGTGTTTTAAGGTAGATGCACAAGTATCTTTTATTTATCAAACATTGGCCCATGACCATCTAAGTCATAATGTCACAATAGCATCATAAAATGAATCCATATAAAGTTTCTTCTTATTATCAATGTTTATAGTGCTGACCTCAAACTTTTGGACTGTATGTACTTCAGTATTTCTCACATCACCACTATTGGCATTGTCTGTAACACTGGGTCACTAAATCTCCGGTTGTCCCTGTAATATTAGAGATCAGAGTTGGAGATAGATATCCTGGTGGACTATGGTTATCTTCAAAACACAAATTAAGATATTTTAAATTCCTGGATCATGTGGCCATAACATAGGCTTCTGCGGGAGCCTTCGTGATCATCAGGCCCCCGGCGCGTCGCTAAAATCCTGTATGGTAAGGGTTACGCGTTATTGATCTCGCTCCCTTTCTCTGAGTTGGTTTAGACCCCGGTACCTTGGGCTCCACTCAACTAGTGTGTCTTTGTCGACACACTCTGGAAGCATCGCTCCCCTCACCATTGAGGGTTGTATTGGAGCTTGCCTCTCCCGATTGGCCCAGTACTTCCGGGCATCTGCAAACAGATACTTGGAAAACTCTAAATCCAAATACTATGGTAAGTGCACACACTAAGCTTTGCGCACTTTTCTACAAATCCACATAAGTGGTAAGTGTGCACGTTATGCTTTGCGCACTTTCTAAAATCCACATAGCTGGTAAGTGTGCACGTTATGCTTTGCCCACTTTCTAAAATCCTGTATGGTAAGGGTTACGCGTTATTGACCTCGTTCCCTTTCTCTAAGTTGGTTTAGACCCCGGTACCTTGGGCTCCACTCAACTAGTGTGTCTCGATCGACACACTCTGAAAGCATCGCTCCCTTCACCATTGAGGGTTATTGTGAGTATGGTGTTTCTTTCGAGCGTTAATCCTCTCTGAGGAGTTGGATTCCTCGCTCCATGGGCTGTCCTCGTGGTAGTATTGAGCAGTGCTCCTCTTTTTTGTCAAAGAGTTACCTGGAATGAACAACGCTATTCCTCTGAATTTGGAGTTCTCCTCTCACATGAGAAGTTTGAGTTCTCTGTTTCTCCAGAGCACCTGGAACCAGCAGCATCAGGCGATTTAGGCCCTTCCTCCCTGATGCGCTGAGTGTTTGGCTAGCTTGCAGTATGCTTACTGATTTTACAATCACGCTGTAGGTCGAGCCCCCTTCTCGACTGAGAACTAGGTGTGTTGCTCCCACAGCTAAGTAAATTATTGCTAGCTGTTCCAGCTTTGGAAAATGCTGCAGGTCGAATCCCCTTCTCGTTGAGAACTGGGTGTGTTGCTCCCTCAGCTAAATGACTGCTAGCTGTTCCACCATTGGAACATGCTGCAGGTCGAGCTCCCTCTCGATTGAGAGCTGGATGTTTGCCCCCTCAGCTACAGATTTACTGCTAGTCACTCCAGCATTATAGCCTTAGATTGACTTGATGACTTCTCAAAGCCTCGGCCTTTGGACGTAGGGAATAACATCACTGACAGCCGTCTAACGTCCCAGGGGCGATTCCCATAGCGATATGGTAGAGTTGGTACTTAGTGCTCGCCATGGTTCTGGCATGCACTCCCCTCAGCATGGTGGCATGGGTATACCGTTCCCCATAGCGACCCCTAGAGGACGCAGTTCGCTTCAGATGAAGAAGTGAATGATGTGTGCTCCCGGCACCTATTTATACTATAGTTGCCCCGGTAGTACCGTCATGGCTGTCGCCGGCCAACGAGTTGGTGTTTTTTCAATGTATGCTTCAGACAAGGGTCACAACGAGGCGTTCCCCATAGCGACCCCTAGAGGACGCAGTGTCTCGTTCCCTACTCAGGGAACCATGGTTACATAAGTAACCTGAGACGTTTCATTTGACTAGAAATTTGATTTGGTCAAACTTTAAAAAAATGTTTCAGTTCAGAAAAAGTAAACCTATTTTTACTTTGATCCAATGAAACTTTTTTTTTCAGTGATAATTTTTCACATTATTAGTATTTTTTACTGTATTTTTTTATAAAATAAATGCAGCCTTGGTGAGCATAAGAGAGTTCTTTCAAAAAATATATTGAAATATGTTATATATTGAAATATATTATATTTCAATATATAACATATTTCAATATATTATATTTAAAAAAATATATATATATATATATTTGTGTGAAATGTTTACAGACTACTCAAATTGGGACACTTTTTGCCATTTAGATGACTGGGAAAATATAGCTGAAGTAGCATATTTATATACAGGCCATTCCTCCACTGTATATTTTTAAGGGAAATAAAGTGCAGGTAGAGTGAATAAATATATTATTGTCAAGTCATTGTTCCTGTAAATATTTTTTACACAATCTTAAATTTGTATGACATAGATCTCTATCCACACAGGTTCCTTGACATTATAGTTCTGTAAACCACAGGCCATAAATTGTGCATTTGTGCAAGAGTGCGCTTCAAATAGGGATTCATGAGGATCTGGCAAGGGTCTTCATTCACTAAACACAGAGACATTGTGATTACCTGAAACATGATGATATTTCAGGGAAGCGATCACAGGCTGAATTAGGAATAGTTTAGCATAGGCCTACTATTCCATATACTCCTAAGAAAAAAAAGGTAGGCCACAAAAGCTGTCAACTTTCAAACCCATTTAGGTACTAATGTGTACATTTAAG